TTTGCTATCAAACATTCCCTTCCAATATGATTTTCATGTCATGATCATTGGTACCCTCTGGTAAACGTTTACATAACTATGGAAAATCACCATTTTTCATGGGAAAACTCACTATTTCAATGGCCATTTTCAATAGCTACGTTAGTCATTACCAGAGGGTATCCTATTGTAATCCTATTGTAATACTATCAAACATCGTATCCCATTGGTATCATAGGTGAAAGAATCACCTGGTATCCCTTTTTTTAATACTTCGATTCGGTCGATGTTTGATAATAAATCACTAGTATCCTATAGCCTCAATGGGAAATAGCTATGGAAAATGGAGGTTTACCCTCTGGTAAACGTTAACAGTTTGCGAACTGGAACATCGCCATCCTTAAGTTCAGTAAATCAACGAACTAAATGTGCTGTTTTCCAGTTCGCAAACTGTGAGTCATTACCAGAAGGTAATAAACTAAATCCTATTCCCCCAATAGAAGATCACCCTTGAAAGCCCATTGGTTTTTATATGGGGAATCCTTGTTTTTATATGGTTTTTATCATCCCAATAGCTGGCCCACCATTTGCCCAGATTCCAGAGGGATGACCATATATTCCAAAAAATCGGACTTTGAGTCCACAAAAAAAAAATAAGCCCAGAATGATAACCCTTGAAACTCCATTGGTTAATGTATTGGATCTATTCATCAAAAGGTATTTGAATAGTAGATAACCCTTGAAACCCCCTGTTTGGTATGTTTGGTATTGGATCTATTCATCAAAAGGTATCCGATTGGTACCCCCTGGTAATGACTAACATAGCTATTGGAAATGATCATTTATAGTTGATTTACCTATTATAAATGGTGATTTTCCATGGTTTTTTGTATGTTTACATGGCAGGAAGTGGTATCCGATTGGCAGGAAGTGATCCTCGACATGGCCTTGGGCTTGAGAGACATTCCAAAGCTCAGCCAGGTGGAACGGGGGTTTTCGGTGCTTCTTTGGTGGCTAAAACGCTTACATACACTGCGTGTATATATAATATTTAGATAGATATGTATATGTTATATGTATGTGTATATATATATATGATTATATGTTGTTATATACCATATATATATATATTAAATATGTACATGTATGTCTATCTATATATGTATGATTATATGGTGTTATATTATATATATGAGTTGCCTGTGTGTTTGAGATTATGAAATCATACGCAATAATGTTGGTTGTTGAGTTGAGAAGTCAACGGTAGCATGGCATTTCAGTTGTCGCACGACTTGCCCACTAAGAGCAGAGTTGAGAAGTCATACTGCCATGGATGGACTTGACATACCCTCTGGTAAACGTTTACATAACTATGGAAAATCACCATTTTTCATGGGAAAATCCACTATTTCAATAGCCATTTTCAATAGCTATGTTAGTCATTACCAGGCCGGGTAACTTCTACAATGGGATTCAACGACCCCGCTGAAATGGAGGTTTGTTGAATCCCCATTGGTCATGTGTGCCGTTCCTCGGAACATCCTCTAAAAATTCATGGTAAACATAAAATAAACCATGGAACATCAGCATTTTTAATGGGTATATCAACTATTTCTATGGTCATTTTCCATAGTTTTAATGGTTGATTTTCCAGATTTGCAGTGTTTACCCTAGGCTACCTATCTGATGTTTCGTCTGAACCTGATTTTCAGCTCATTTTCCGTCACTTTTGGTGATTTGCCATTGAAAAAACATGGGGATTTTCCATTGTCATCGGAGCACCAGTGCTGAGGGCGCAATCGATTCCCTCCGTAAGCCCATTAGCGGGGCGCCTAGCGGGGCTGGTGGTTTTTCAAAAGAATCATCTATACATCTATGTATACATATATATATATATATATATGTACATACATATAAACCAAAAAAAGATTTAGATACAGTAATTACTTATATTTTTTATTTGTTAGAAGTACGTTATTCAGTTATTGTATATTATATATAGTTATTGTATATTATATACTATCCAATCTATAATATATATTATATTTATACTAGATTACATACTCAACATTATATATTATACAATGTATTATATATTATATGATATATATATATATAATGATATATATATATAATGATATATATATATATAATGATATATATATATATATAATGATATATATATATATATAATATTATATATCATATATTATATTTGAAACTTTATATCTTATATATTATGGTTTTATTATATATTATATTTGTTATATAGTTATATATTATACATTTATATATATATATTTAAATAATATAGCTGTATTATATATCTGTATATATTTGTATATTATAGATTATAATTTGCAAATTATATATTATATCTATATTTCATATTTCATATTACATAATAACATTTGTATATTATATATATATATTACATATATATTTTCAATTTAGTATTATATATGTTATATTATATATCCATTATATATTATATATTATATTACTTATTACTTATTATTCATTATTTATAATATACTATATATATCATATTATATTATATTATATTAGATATATTATTGTTTTTTTTTCTTATATATATATATCATATATTACACACTATATATTATATATATTGTTTATTCTGTATTATGTATTATATATATCATATATTACATATGTATTTTATTATTGTTTTTTTTGGTAGATATTTTATAATATATTCTACAGTATATATTGTCTATTGTAAATGATATATTTTGATATTTCGACCAGGTCAAACTTCCTGATAGGTTGTGGAAGAGCAGCTTTCGGGAATTGCAATCCCAAAACTTCAAAGAAAACTGGCCGCAAGCGGAGACATGAAGTCATTCCAACTGCAGACATGAGAATGCACCAAGAATTGAAAGAGAAAAACTTCCAGAGCCACGTGGCAGCTACATCTTAGAGCGTATCGGCTGGTAAGATCTGGTAAGTGTATGAAGGTTTACACCCTGAGGTCGCTGAGGTCTTCCCTCCCGTTGTGAGGTAAGTATCCTTGGGAGTACTATGATGGGGAGCGGCCTTGGAATGCAGCTGTGATTGCGTCAGTGGAATAACAAAACTGCGGCCGCCTGCACCGAGGGACAGGGGGGCGGACTGCACGGAACATGGGTCGGAAGTCCCCGGCGCGAGGTACGATTCGAACATGATGTCATCGGTCTTGCGCACGCGAGACACCCAGGGGCCACAGTACGATTTGGAAAATTGGGGGGGATGATTCCAGTAACTAGTTAGTAACTCTGGTTAGTAAGTCCCTAAGGTTATCCCACACTTTTCCATTCGGTGATTTTTTCCAAGTGGGCTGTGTTCCTGGCTGAAGGTTGCTGCCACCCAGTCCCTTGCGGGTGGGTGTACAGGAGCCACGAGTTTTGCCCGGGTTTGGGGCAGGTTTGGGGTTTTTCGATTTGTAGGAGCCAACCACAAAAATGCTGTGATTTAATCACAGAAAATCATTGGGATTGAAGCATGAAACACGATGATTTTGTCCGTGAACAAGCTTTGGCCACACGAATGGGGATGGCTTGGATGCTCATGGGACCAGTGGTGAAAAATGTGACCAGCAGGGCGGATGGCCAGGGTTTTGACACATAGCCATATAGCCTCTGGTAAACTAACATAACTATGGAAAATCACAACTTTTCATGGGAAAATTCACTATTTCTGTGGTGATTTTCCATAATTATGTTAAATTACCAGAGGGTAGCCATGTGAGTCATGATTGAAGAGTTCCTTCTTGGGAATATATTGGGTATATATATATAGCAATCCCCCAAGAGATAGACCAGTAATTTATCACATATTTTCATCACTGTGAAAAAGTGGGATCCCCTGGAAATCAACCATGGTATGGCCATTGCTTTTCCAAACCGCTTTCGTTTGGTCAGTAGGACATATGGCTTTGTGGTGTTGGTCAAAACTGGGCATAGTGAATATGATAATTATGAGATAAATAAGATAAATCTCGAAATGGGAGAAACCAGCAATGACTTGCTCCTTGGCGACCAGCATTCTTCAAATCTTCACTTTGCTAAGATCATCCCATTTACCCAAAGACATGCCAATTTATTCCCTTCAACATGTCGAATTTTCCCCTAAACCACAAAAAACCATGGGTGAAACTGACTCTTTCAGGGTATTTTTTTAATGAAGATCATATGAACCTCACTTTTTTTTTTCATGGCTTTTAAACCATCTTCCATTTTAACCATCATTTTCTGGTGGAAAACATGATGTTAGTGGCAAAACTGCAGTTTTTAAAAACTTGATGGGATTTTGAGTGATTACTCGACTCAGATCACTAAAAATAAGTCATTCTAGGGATGATTCAACTCAAATCACGAAAACGTGTCGTAAATGTGGATTATTGGATTTAAAGATTCTAATATCGTCATAGTAACTATGAAAAGACAAGCCATACTAGATATATATATATAAATATCGCTCACCCATTTGCCATATCAAAAAAAAAGATCTACCATAAACCAGATGATTTTTGGTAATCGAAAAAACACCACCATCGACAGGAGAAGTTGCGGTCCCTGAGTACCTTCCCCGTAGAGGTCGGGCCAAGGGTCGGGTCATACGGGTCGTCTCTTGGAGACCGGGAACGTCTTGGATGGCCAGAGTTCAAAAAAGCAACAGAAAAAGGGAGGATCTATATGATTTTATATGATATTTATATGATTTTATATGATTTATTTATATGATTTTGTATGTTCTATTCATGCTGGATCTTTGACAATTCCATATTCTATGATATTTTTTAATCATATTTTCATCTGTCTTCAGGATGATGACAGATGATTGAGATGAGCGCGAAAAACTGGCTGTGGCGAAGAATTCGGCAGAAGAATTCGCCCCAATGGGAGGAGGTTACCTGACGGGGTTATCTCATTATATCCCATTATATGTCATATTTCCCTATAAAATATATACACATCTTGTACATGTTACATCATCCTGAAGTAGATAGAAAATGGCATTTTCAATGATATTCCCTTTTTTAGTTGTGGTCATTGAAATCTACATCTAAATCTACATCTATCTACATCCAGGACTATTACTTTTCGACCAGGTGGTGGATGCAATGACCAGCGGCTTCAACCTTTCTGCTTGGTGGGAGCAACACGGGGATTCAGGGTAAGCCGGGCTTTTTCGATACCATGACTTCATAGGATGTACTTATATCATATATCACATGTATATATATATATATAATCACATATATCATATATATATATATAATCATATATATATAATCATATATATATATATATAATCATATATATATAATCATATATATAATCATATATATAATCATATATATCATATATACATATAATCATATGTATGTATATACATATGATATGTCTCGGATATAGTAAGGCTAAAAAAGATGCAGAACAGCTTCACTTTACCACGGACGAGGTGAAGCTCGCTAGGGGTGGTTGGGGTCAATGCCATAAACAACTCCCCATTTTATGGGGGTGGTTTGAATCCCACCCATCTATGGCATCGAGCCGCAACCAGATGCTGATCATTGTTGCTTGGGGCTTGTACTCCCATTCACCGGGGAATCTGTTAAGTAGTCGAACCATTGCAGATGTCGTTTTTTTCTTTAAGCTTGTTGAGAATTCATCATTCGATTCTTGAAGAAGAACAACCTCAGTACAAGTGGGGTTATATCCCAACTTATGGGGTTTATAACCAAGGTTATACCCATAAAAGTAGTCGATCAGTGTGATCGCTCTTCAGACTCGATCGCAGCTGAAGACTTGGTGTTTGCAATGATATCTTTGCAGCCCAAGTTTATGAGTATCACACCTTTCGGAAGCAATATATTCCAACTAATCCATTTGCAAATATCATCATCATCATCATCATCATCATCACCATCAGCATCATCATCGTCATCGTCGTCATCATCATCATCATCACCATGATCACCATGATCACCATGATCATCATGATCATCATGATCATCATGATCATCATGACCATCATGATCATCATGATCATCATGATCATCATGATCATCATGATCACCATGATCACCATGATCACCATGATCATGATCATCATGATCATCATGATCATCATGACCATCATCATGATCATGATCATCATGATCATCATGATCATCATGATCACCATGATCACCATGATCACCATGATCAGCATGATCATCATGATCATCATGATCATCATGATCATGATCATATTCATCATCATGATCATGATCATCTTCATCATCACCACTCCACTTCCGCCTTCTTATTGTTTGGCTTGCCACGTAGCTATGCGGGTAGGTACTTGGTCCTCACTGGGCTGTGGGCCGCCTTTTTCCTCTACGTCACCATTGAAGCAATCGCTTTGTCTTCACTGATGCAGTATGGCCTCCTAGGCACGTCTGCAGAGGGTGATCTGGAAATGATGGGGATGAATATGGTATAAAGTATAAATGGGATATATAATAGAGTAGTTATATATCAATGAGGAAAATCTATGGTGCTTTCCATAGTCATGGGGGATCACCAAGCTCGCTGCATGTTTTTTTCATGGACCATCTGATTTTTCAATGGATGAGAACTAGGGATGCCCCGATGACTTAGGACACCTCCATTTTTTTCGCCAGTCCGAAAATCGGCGATAATCGGAGAATGGTGAGCATCGGTATATCCCTTTCGATGGCAAATTTAGTAGGTATGATGATAAACCCATGGGTTCAGGAGTATCTATTCTCAAACAAACCCATTTAATGGTCATTTAAATTAGAACATTGATGATCGACCATGAGATCTGGGGGTAATTACTCAAAAATCCCGGACATAGCCTTATGTTGGTACGTCTGAACGACATGCCCCAAGTGGATATTTTAGTTTTTTTTTGCGGTTTTCTTTGAGGTTTCGACCCATGCTTCACTTTGTGGATAGCTTTTGGATGGACTTGCTTCACCATGGAGAAGCATCATCCAAGACTCATGGTCCATGTTTAGAAATGCTCTGCAGGAAAGAGCTTAGAACAAGATGTTCAACATCAAACCGGAAGCCCCAAAGACAAAAACCATCGATGGCACAGCGATCTTTTTCACCTCACAATTCCCAGGTTACGCAATTAACGATCGAATTTAGAGTTGCTACTAAGTGATGCTACCTACAATGACCTACAATTAGCAAGTTTTTCTACCCCATCTAATTGTAGGTATCGCCAATTTCCCTAGTTGACCCACTACCAGCGGCTCATTCCAGTGGCGGCTAATTGTCCGGATTTTTGGGACCGAACAACCGGCACTAGCATTCATTCTTCAGTGTGATTTTTTCAGCTGTTAAATTGTTAAATCATATTAAACCATATTAAATTATATTAAACCATATAAAACCATATTAATCCACATGAAACCATATTAAACCATATTAAACCAGATTAAACCATATTAAACCATATTAAACCATATTAAATCATATTGAACCACATTAAACCATATTAAATCATATTGAACCACATTAAACCATATTAAACAATATTAAACCATATTAAATCATATTGAACCACATTAAACCATATTAAATCATATTAAACCACATTAAACCTTAATAAACCACATTAAACCATATTAAACCACATTAAACCATATTAAACCATATTAAACCATATTAAACCATATTAAACCATATTAAATTATATTAAACCATTTGAAACCATGTGAAATTATATTAAACCATATGAAACCATATTAAACAATATTAAATTATATAAAACCATATTAAATTATATTAAATCATATTAAACAGTATTAAATTATATTAAACCGTATTGAATTATATTAAACCATATTTAACCATATTAAATTATATTAAACCATATTAATTCATATTAAATCATATCAAACCGTACTAAATTATATTAAACAGTATTAAATTATATTAAACCATATTAAACCATATTAAATTATATTAAACCATATTAAATCATATTAAATCATATTGAACCATATTAAACCATATTCAATTATATTAAACAATATTAAACCATATTAAACCATATGAAACCATATCAAACCATATTCAATTATATTAAACAATATTAAACCATATTAAACCATATGAAACCATA